TACACATGTTTCTGAATAATGAATTATGGCCGCGAGGGATAATCTTCAGACGATTTGTGCATTTTAAACCAAAGAATTTAAACAGATCACATCGCTCTGTTATCGGCAACAAAGTAAATAAAAATGCATCATAATAAGACACATAATTTTGTATCATTTAATTGTAAGAATATCAAGCGCTCACTTATTGATATTCGGCGTTTATGTGAGACTGCGGACTTGGTAGCCCTTCAAGAGACATGGCTGCTGCCAGACGAGTTGTCATACTTGAATGGAGTGGATGGCGACTTCGGGTGTACGGGGACATCGGCAGTTGACACTACCTGTGGCATGCTGAAGGGTAGGCCTTACGGCGGAGTGGCCATTCTATGGAGGCGTAGTGTTTTTCAGAATGTGTCGGTGGTGAAATGTGATAATCCGCGTATATGTGCAATCCGAATAGTGTTGGACGAAAAGTCAATTTTAGTGATGAGTGTGTACATGCCGACGGACATGCCTGCGAACTTACCCGAGTTCACGGACACTATCAGTACGGTGAGTGCTATCATAGATAATATGGGTATCGAAAATGTTTACGTATTAGGCGACTTTAATGCACACCCTACAGAGACTTTTTACAATGAGCTATGCTGTTTTTGTGCAGAACAGCAGTGGACATGTGTTGATACAGACATGTTAGGTATCGCGTCTGGTGCGTATACTTTCATAAGTGAGGCACACGGCTCTAAACGTTGGCTAGATCATTGTATTGTGACCAAAGCAGCTTTGTGTTCAGTTGTGGGGGTACATGTACATTATGATGTTTTATGGTCAGACCATTTTCCTGTATTTGTGGAATGTAATTTGGAGCTTATAATACAAAAAAGTAGTCATTGCGCCTGTACACAAAATAAAGTAGTGTGGGGTGAACGAAGCCCTGAACAGATCGGCAAGTACAGGAAAGTTTGTCATGACAAATTAAGACAGGTCGATTTTCCATGCGAGCTCCAACTATGCGCTGACAAAAGTTGTAATATCTTAGAACATAGGCCCATCATTGACAAAATGTATAATGATATTATTGTTGCTATGAGTGAATCAGCGGCTATCAGCGGGGTAATCAGAAATGGGAAGCGTAGGCGTAGTGTAGTCGGCTGGAATAAACATGTAAGCGACGTACACAGGACGGCCAGGCAAAAGTTTTTGACTTGGGTGTCGTATGGCAAACCAACTGCCGGTAAAATATATGAGGAAATGTGTGAAACTAGGCGAATATTTAAATCCAGATTGAAATGGTGTCAAGATAATGAGACTCAGATTAAGATGGATTTATTGGCTTCACATCACTCGAAACAAGATTTTAAATCCTTCTGGAAGGCCACTCAAAAGTTAAATGCAAAGCCTGGCCTTCCTGTGTGCGTCGACGGAGTGAGTGATTCGAAAGAGATTGCCGATATCTTTATGAATCACTTCAGTGTGAAATCGCCGCTGGGGCCACCGTCGTGGGTGCTCGATGTTGAGGTTGGAATGAAGCTGGAAACAAGGTTTAGCGCCAAGGAGGTAGAAAAAACAATTGTTTCAATGTCGAAAGGAAAATCCCCCGGCCATGATGGCCTTAGCATTGAGCATCTACGATACGCGGGTCCGCATTTGCCTAGAGCATTGTCCATGTTTTTTGCATTGTGCATGAGTCACGCGTATTTGCCAGCCGAAATGTTGAGGACTCTAGTAGTACCTGTTCCGAAAAACAAGACTGGCGATATGGCCGATAAAAATAACTATAGACCTATATCATTGGCGACGATTGTTTCGAAGGTGTTTGATAGTTTGCTTAATACGCAATTAAATAAATGTATACAACCTCATGATAATCAATTCGGGTTTAGGCCCGGATTGTCTACAGATAGTGCTATCTTGTGTCTTAAGCAGACTGTCAGATATTATATGGATAGAAAAACGCCCGTGTATGCTGGATTTCTCGACCTCTCAAAAGCTTTTGATCTGGTTTCCTACGAAGTTTTGTGGAAGAAGCTCAGTAATACGAAATTGCCAAAAGAACTTATTAATATCATCAAGTACTGGTACAGGGGCCAGGTCAATTGCGTCAGATGGGCTGGAGTCAGGTCGGACGTGTACGGGCTGGAGTGCGGGGTGAGACAAGGTGGACTGACATCGCCCACCCTCTTCAGCCTGTATGTGAATGACTTATTAGAGGAGCTCAGCCGCACTAGGTTAGGTTGCTATATAGATGGTGTGTGTTTGAACAATATTAGCTATGCCGATGATATGGTGTTGTTGAGTGCGTCACCCTGTGGTCTCAGCAAATTGTTAGGGATTTGCGAAAGGTATGCGCTGCAGCACGGGCTTGTGTACAATGCGAAAAAGAGTGAGGTTATGGTCTTTGGGACCGGCGGAGGCGGTGCATTTATCCAGATGCCTACTATTAAATTGAATGGTGTTCCTCTACAGAGAGTACAGCAATTTAAATATCTGGGGCACTGGCTGACTGCCGATCTCAAGGATGATACGGACATTGAACGGGAGCGAAGGGCGCTGTCTGTACGCGCTAACATGATTGCCCGCAGGTTTGCGCGCTGTACGACTGAAGTCAAAGTTGCTTTATTTCGTGCATATTGTACTTCGTTCTACACGTGCGGTCTGTGGGCTCATTTTACGCAAAAAGCATACAGCGCCCTTCGAGTCCAATATAATAACGCTTTTAGGGTGCTGATGGGGTTGCCCCGTTTTTGTAGTGCCTCGGGAATGTTTGCAGAAGCCCGCGTAGATTGTTTTTATACAGTAATGCGTAAGAGATGCACATCCCTAGTGCGGAGGGTGAGGGGTAGCAACAACAGCATCCTGAAAATGATATCTGGCCGACTGGATTGCGCAATAGTAAATAGATGTTGTAGACTCTCCGCGGGACTTGCGCCGTAATTATAGTAGTATTGACATTTTAGTTAAATTAAATTAAATATTATAATTAATGGCATGATTTTGTGTTGTCCTGTCTGTCTCTATTTTTGTAAATTGTATATTACCTATTAAATCATATATATAATGTGTACTAACATTAGTTTTTTAAGTTCAATGTTACTAACAAGAATATGGACATGGTCTGCAATAAATGATTATTATTATTATTAAACAACAGTAGGTATCATTAGGTACTCCAGATGCTAATCATCAGAAACGATCAATATTCACAACATGAATAATTACTTCGATAAACTGAAACTTTATGAAATATGTACCCACTTTATTGTTCCCTAGCCGCTAACGACTCGAAATTTATTTAAATGTGCTCTAAACTCCGTTGTTCCAAAGTTGACCGAAGACCCATTTCGATCATAAAGTCAAATGATTCTTTTAAAACTTATAGAAAACGGAAAATCTTGCAGAGTTCGTTAATCTGTTTGTAACGCGCTTAATTATTTGTATTTTATGCGCACTGCTACAATACCTATGTTGCCTAAGTGCCTGTGGGAATTAGAGCCAAACCATCTTTGAAGTAATTAGGAAGGCTTTGTTTAACAGTCATATAGGACGAAAAATATAAATAAATTATCTTAGAACTAGATCGAAATTAGCCAACAGACATTCTATACACAACTCTATCATTTTATTAAATTCAAAATACCCGCATAAATAATTAAAATCCAAGAGTTCTTTATCTTTTCTACCCTATACTCAGTCCTTACCTAGTACGCACTGTTTTTAATCTAGGACGTAAAAAGGATATGTACATCTGCACAATGAACTAACAATTGTAACAACAGCATAAAAGTGCTTTATTACTCGTAACAAGCATCGTCGTAAAAAGTTTTAACTTACCAAATAACAGCAGCAATAAGTCGCTAACAGCCAGACTAAAGAGATAATAGTTGGTCGCAGTGTGCAAACCAGGATGTCTCACAATCACCACACACACACACGCATTGCCAATAACACCAGTCAGGAATATAACCACCAATACAATACTTATTGGCACTATTTCCTTCAATGGTAAACGTCTGGATCCCATCAACCACCATAACATCTCCTCCTCACTACAGTCGAAATGCGATAAATTATTACATCGATTATAAAAATCGTCATAAGTCTCATTTCCACGTAAAAATAATTTGGCATCCATTTTTGAAAAAAGTTTTCACAATTTTTTTTAAGTTATTATTTTAGTACCTAATCAGAAATGTAGATACAAAATAATTGTAAGCACACTAAACCTTCACATACGTTATAAATTAATTTTATAAATATTAAACACCAAACAGTGTTACGAACAGTTAGTGTATTTGGAAACCGCAGAAAACATGACCGATTCAACCGGGTTCCCGCGCGCACTGATGCTCTTTGTGTAACTTCCAGAACTGACAATTTATGGCGAACTACGAAATTACACCGAGCTGCGTATTTACATCTATAAATAAAATCATTTTTGCTAATTTCGAATAACTAAGAAGATAGTAGTTAAGAATTTTGTAAAATATATTTTTTTACTACTTAAGCGAATAATGTTGAAGAAAATAATTATTTAGGTAATCGTTTAATTTTTTTGGTTACTATTTGAGTCACATTAAATTAATTCCTTGACCATTATAAAAATGAATAAAGAAAATAAGATACAGCAAAAAACTGCTATGATATAAAAATGAATACTGAATTTCATTCCCAAGATTTCCCGCTAGATTGCCGTTTTGAAATCTCGCGCTCGATTTTCCCGCTAAATCTCTGGGATGTCACTTTACATCTAGAGCGCGCCTTAACCATAAACGTTTAGTCGAATTTTATTTGATCATTTGTCTATGACGCTCCGAAAATACCACGAATTTATTGTCTGTGGAAGTTGCGCTACGCCCGCAAAATCATTATTTGACAGATAACAAAACGTCAAACAATATTAATGGTGTCGATTTTTCTGGTAAAAATTGTTAAAATGCGATCTATTCTAATGTTTATATAGGTTTTATTGTTGCGCTTGCGGTTGCACCCTAGCAGGCTTAAGATAAGAAGCATTTATTATGAGTGTTCCAATGAATGAAGAAATTGCGGACATAAGTATGACAGGAACTGAAGCAGATTCCTCGCAATCGCACGGGCATGAAGGTAAATAAACAATTTACAACAATACTAAACTTATGTAATGACAACAAACTACATTATTTGGATGAAAGTAATAACTAAAATTTAATGATATTTACTTCTCGCCTTATCTTGACAGTATTTAATACAATGTTTACTTGTTAGTTCTAAAATTATTATAGTGTCAACTCTTAAACTTTATTTAACCGAAACTTCAGACAGTTTACTACTCCTAAACTCAATAAATATAACTCATATCAATAGTTTAATAACATTAACACCAAGTTATTGTGAGTAATCATTTATTTATTTTATTTTAGCCTCATCAAGTGTAAATGCAGATGATGCGTCGTCCAGCAATGCCGCGACACCAGCAGGCAGTGAGGGACAGGCCTCCAGGCAGTCCAATCTGCAGCGCATACAGCAAAGAAAGCAACAAGTCTATGGTTGGCCACATAACAAGAAGTTACTCAAATTAGCAATATACTCTGAATGCCAGGTAAATACATTTATATTTTACTTATTGTTAACACAAGGAAATGAGCTGGAAAGGAAGATTGCACAAAAAGTAAAAATGCAGTGTATTTTGAATCATCAAAACCCTCCCAATTTACTGGTAGTTATTAAAAGTTAAGTTATAAAACTGACTACAAAGGTTCTTGCAGCTAGTCTTTGCCTAGATTATATTCTACATAACATCACACCTTTTTATCCCCGAGGGGTAGGCAGAGGTGCACATTTCAGCACTTAATGCCACTGTACAATGTAACACTCACTTTTCACTATTTATGTTATAAGTCCCATGTAATAGGGGATGAGCCTATTGCCATATACCGGGCACATTTCCAGACTCCGTGCTACTACTGAGATTTTTTAAAAACCCACTAATACTTTGCCCAACCCGGGAATCGAACCCGAGACCCCTTGCCCAGCAGTCGCACTTGCGACCACTCGGTCAACGAGGCTGTCAGCAGATTATATTCTGTTGTAATGTATTCTCTAAAGTAAAAGACAATTAATTCAACAAGATAGATTTTTGCATTACCTATGACATAAAGTGGGTACATAAAAATTTAATATACTATAGTTTTGATATATCATTAATAATTGTGAGAAAATCTTAATTGTTGTTTCTATGAATTTTATTTTGAATCTTTTTTGTCTCTTATGCCATACTTCATTGTATTGTTAGTTTTTAATGGATTTGTTCATTCATTCCTAGACTCCAGAATGCAACTGCAATGGGTGGAAGACACCAGCTCCACAACCAACTGGAAAAGGCAACCCCCGAGCAGACAACCAGCCTATTGCCACTTTCAATGATCCTTGTCGGAACTGCAACCACATCTTAGGTTTGTACTCAACATTGATTATGTTGTTTACTAACTATAACCGCCACGACGTAGATAGTGAATTTTAGAACATAACTTGTTTTTTGCTTAAATTTTCCAAAATAAAAGTAGCTTATGTTAATCCTTGATACATCAGCTACCTGCCAATGGAAGTTCCGTCAAAATCTGTCCACCCACTCCAGAGATTAGCCAATATAAACACACAGACAGACAGACAAAAATTGTAAAAAAATTGATTTTGGTATGTTTGTCATTTTGTTATGTATATTTATATGTATATAGTAAAAATTGGTTATTTTAATATTACAAACAGACACTGCAATTTTATTTATCTGTATAAATGATACATTTGCAAAGCACATTGGCAAAGACTAAGAAGAGAAGGCAGCACTTTATAATAAGCCAAGCTATCTGCAACCACATGCCTAATTAGCTGTTGACATTATTGATAGATTGACCAGCAAGGATAACTTATTTAAGGCCGTTTTTTTAGTATGGAAGAATTGTCAAATATTAATAGTTAATCCTCAGGTAAAATTTATCTGAGCATTGAAAAATCTGCCCTTAGTATGTTCTGAAAGATTTTCTACTAGAAATTCTTAATTGGTAACTGCTTCTAGTAATTGGTAGTATAGTTACTTAACTACTTGCACAACTGAATTACTTTAATATTATAAACGTGAAAGGTTCTTTGTTTAGATATTTGTCCTTCAATCACGCTGAAAGTTTTGATGAGATTTGGTATATAGGCAGGGTTTGGGCTCACTTAGGTGATAGCATACTCACTTTTTATCCCCATTAAATGCTAAAAATACATGGATAAAACAGGAATCATATTCTATGCGGACAAAGATATGGGCAACAGCGAGTTACTGAATATACCTATTACACCATTGAAAATTGTTGAAAATCATCCCCTAAATTTGTTCATACAAAATATCTCTAAACATTGGAAATAAGGTCTATAATGTAGTTACTGGAGAGCGGTCACCAGTGACTGCTTGGGGGATATATCGGTTTCATAAAGAATGTAAGACCATAATGTTTGTTATATTTTTGTAGAAAAGCATGTGACTCAGTTGCAAGGATTGCCAGTAGCGGAAGTGAACAGGCTGCTCGGAGCAGTGGTGGACGTGGAGAACATCTTCATGTCCATGCACCGAGAGGATGACCACGACACTAAACGCGTTTACTATTATTTGTTTAAGGTAAGTGCATAACTTCCTTTTCATAATTTCTAGTTTGGACTACTTTTTAATGTGAACTGCATCATGGGTCACAAAGAACAACCATGACGCATTGGTCACAATTCGAGGTTCTATTGTTTGCACATTGCTATATTTTATTTTATTATTTAATTATTTATTTATTTATTTTATTTTATTTTATTTATTTTATTTTATATTTTTTTTATTAATTTTATTTTATTAAAATATAATTTAATAATTGATGACGGCCTCGTTGCCCGAATGGTCGCAAGTGCGACTGCCGGGCAAGGGTTCTTGGGTTCGATTCCCGGGTCGGGCAAAGTACTACTGGGTATTTTATAAATTCTTAGCACGGAGTCTAGAATTGTGCCCGGTATATGGCAATAGACTCACCCCCTATTACATGGGACTCATAACATAAATAGTGAAAAGTGGGTGTTACATTGTACAGTGGCATAATGTACACCTTTGCTTACCCCTTCGGGTATAAAAGGCGTGATGTTGTGTTATATTTTAATTAAATGATTTAACATTTAAGGAACAACAAAAATTTAAAAAAAAATTATTACTGCAGAGTGCAGTGGCGTAACATTTGAATTAGGGCCCCGAGCAGGGAGATGCCCCAGTTCAGGGATTTTTATTTGAACTTTCATTTTTTTTATATTAGGCAGAGGTGCTCATCCTATGATGTTACCACGAGCCCTGCACCGTATAGTTACGCATCTGGGGAAGTGTGAAAATTATAACAAATCCTCAAATGTAAAATAAGACTACAATCCAGCTTCTCATACAAGGACTAATGTGGACAATGTTGATAGTGATAAATCATTATTTTTATTTCCAGATACTACGCAAATGCATATTAAACCGTTCCCACCCTCGCATCGAGGGCCCACTGGGCCAGCCTCCGTTCGAGCGCCCCTCCATAGCCAAAGCCATCACTAACTTTGTACTATACAAGTTCAACACTCTACCGCAAAGGGAATGGCAGACAATGTACGACCTGGCTAAAATGTTCCTACACTGTTTTAACCATTGGAACTTCGAGACACCTAGTGTTAGGAAATTGGTACGTATTTTCATAATATTTCATTATTAATATACATACATACATAACTCAAGGCTGTCAGACGTGAGGAGTGAGACATGGAACGCCACTTGCTACGATTCTTACATACCTCCGTCATCCGTCATTTCATACATGTTCGTCGTTTAAAGAAGGGCAAAATTAAAAGTACCTTTAATATATCGCCAATACATGCTCGTCGGTTTAAGGTACTTTTAATTTTACCCTTCTTTAATATATCGCCAATCTAGTCGATATATGCCAGTCTAGGGCGCCCTCTACCGACGGTCCAATTCATATCCGGTCCAATTCTTTCGTAAATCTACTTTTATTCATCCTTTCTACGTAATAATATTTATTAATCTGATATTGTTCTGCAATGTGTTTACATTTATTTTTATTTTCAGCAAGTCTCAAATCCGGAAGATATATCAGCATACCAAATTAATTACACCAGGTATGAAACTCTTTTATTTTGACCACCTGATCCCTTTTATACTGTATCTGCTGAATAGGGTAGATGCCTAATTTTTATTTTAATGTCCGTCTGGTAGATTACTTAATTTTTTTTTTTACGGAAACGAATACCTTCGACGAAATATTGATTTATAATGTCGCGTGTCGTCACTTCTATGTACATTTTGTACGTAGAAATGACGTTTATTCGTTATATCTAAGTATCATTTTATTATACAACAAAATAAAAAAATACGTAACTTATATTTTTTCATACCTAACTGACGGACTTATTCGATTTTTCATTTTCATACCCTGTCATCATCCCTATTGCCCGTCGTAGGCTGTTGATGGTGATGATGTCAAATCACAATTATAACAATTTCTTCGCCATTTCCAGATGGTTAGTATTCTGCCACGTGCCTGCGTTCTGCGACTCACTGCCTCACTACGACACGTCCCTAGTATTCGGTCGCACGTTGCTACGGGCAGTGTTCAAGTCTGTCTGCAGACAACTCATGGATAAGTGCCATTCTGAGAGAGACCGTATGCCGCCTGAGAAGAGGGTAAGTGGGATATATGTTCATACAATATAAACGATCTTAAAGATAAGTGATTGAACTTACATAGAAGTGGATTAGTATGTTGCTCTTTGTTATGTGTGAAAGTACTAAACTAAACTACTAACTTTTTATAAACTTATAAAAGTTTTACTACCTAATTAATTTAGTTTAGGTGTAGTGTATTTTTCCTTTTTTAAGTTTAAAATGAAACTTTGCCTGCCTTAACTGCCTCGATGGCCGAGTGGTCGCAAGTACGACTGCCGGGCAAGGGGCCTCGGGTTCGATTCCCGGGTCGGGCAAAGTATTACTGGGTTTTAAAAAAAAGTCTAGTAGTAGCACGGAGTCTGAAAATGTGCCCGGTATATGGCAATAGGCTCACCCCCTATTACATGGGACTCATAACATAAATAGTGAAAAGTGGGTGTTACTTCTGTGTGCACCTCTGCCAATCCCTTCGGGGATAAAAGACGTGATGTTATGAATGAAACTTTGAAATAAGTTTAAAATTAAACTTTTTGTCTAACTTTAATTTTAGAGTGTAAAAGATATTTGTACCTAAGTTTACTGACACCTGAATTGGAATCTGAAATCTGATTAAATAGTATCTAAGTGTGTGTTTTAACAAGAGGATTTTCTATAACCACTAAGAGAATTCTCGGTAAGAATATCTAAAATTGTAATGGCATATTCTATATTGATTTATTTCAGGTATTAGTGCTAACCCACTTCCCTCGTTTCCTAGCATTGCTAGAAGAGGAGATATTCAGTTCAAACTCCCCGATATGGGACCCAGAGTTCAAGCAGATCCCACCGAACCATCTGCAGGCCATATTTGACAATAAGAACAGTTGTAAGTATACTTTGTTTATGACTAGTGTTTTTAATGCAAATATTTCAAAAAATTATGTCGCTAATTTTCTCGATATTTCTACAAAAATTACTTATTTATGCATATTACTCTGAGGAATATAAGCCTTCCTATGGACATAGAAGTTTTCTAATAGGTCGAGTAGATTATGACCCTATTTAATGAAAAATCCTACCAAATTCTACCAATCTACCGAACCACAAAATCTAAAAATATTTTTTTCTTTTAGTAATTTAAAATATATGTCAGTATTGCCATAGCAATAAATTTAAAACTAATTTAATTAAATAATCGGTGAAAATACTGATTTTTTTTTTACTTATACATAATTATAAATGTATGAACTCTTCTTATTAATGGCCCTTATATTGTAGCGGGCAGAAGAGGCGAGTTTGAACGTGTGACTGCTTCTGGAGACAGTAAAGATGGATTCACTACAGTCCAACTGTCGTCAGGTCAGTTCTAAATATCTATTTAACTGTCCAACCACTGTATTAACGAAATTACATAATAATTTGACACAAGGTATTATCACACATTCTAATTTCAAGCATGCTTCAAATGAGCACTTGTCCCTTAGTAGCATTTAAAACGGAATTTTGGTTTAAGCCTCTAACATGCTCATTTCAAGCATGTTTACGAATCGAAAGGCGCTCGATTTTTTAACATTTTTGAGCATGCTTAACAGAACATTCTTTTATCGTGCTTAAGTATAGTTCTATCTCTACAAATTCTTTGTAAAATGAAAGAGATGGCACGATATTTAAATACAACTTCAAATTGAGTAACCTTTCATCGCAAGGTTCAGTTAATCGCAAGATAATCGCGCACATATACATACATACATGGTACAGGTCCAAATAAGAAACTCCGTCTTTTTTTAAATCGGTTAAAAATTAAGACATATTTCTTTTCATCGCCTCTCCTGAACTACAAAGGAGACTTAGAGAATAACAAGTGTGTTATTCATTAATAATAATTAATATTATTAAACCAGGTTCAATAAAAACAGAAGGAGGCAAGCGAGCAAGTGACACGGTGACTGCAAGTTCAGCCAAACGTCGCCGCGTGGCGGACGACACGGCCGACGATGTCAGCGAGCGGACCGTGGCGGACATAGTGGCCACCATCACAGACCCTAACTATATGTGTGGACCTGATGTGAGTTATCTCTCTAGACTATACGGTAGTTTCCTGGGTTAAAAATATATTATTTAGATTTTTCAGTCCAATTTAATATTGTAAAATAGTTACACTTATGAAAATGTAACTATTTCGTTACACTTTCATACGTGTTACGAAATAGTGTGAATGATCATTGATTTGACAATATACTTTATTTTCGATTTATTCTATCATTTTTTAGAGATAAGTGTGCTATTTGACGCGAAAATGTGATGACGTCATAGGATGGTATTTCGTACAAAATTCATAGAACACGATGAAACAACGCTGCTCGGCAGTGGTATCACTCCGGTCGAGCCGGCCCATTCGTGTCGAAGCAAGGCTTTCCCACATTATAACATGATGATCATCATCAATCTTAAATCAGGTGATCAGTTTGTTATAAGAAAAGGAAAATAAAGCTTTTTATCTATCGTTCCAGGCACTATTCCAAATGCAAGCTCCTCGCGATGAGGCTGCGAAGTCGGAGGAGCAGCGCAAGATGATAGAGTTCCACGTCATCGGGAACTCACTCACTGGACCTGTCAATAAACAGACCATGCTCTGGCTTATTGGTAAGAAAATATATATTTATATACTAACTTTATTTATATACTAAAATATATTTGTCTTTGTGGTTAAATGCATATAGGTATTTTTTATCTTTGGGGATAAAATATTGGACTCAAGTTTTATGTCCAAACAATAAAAAATAAACATATTTATACCTTTTTTAACACATTGGATGCCGTGTCGGATTATTACCCTTTAACAGTTTTTATCAGCAGCTAAAGGCTTAAATGAAAATAAATTCCTGTTATTGTAATATTTTGTTTCGTTTCTATTTCAGGTCTTCACAATGTATTCTCCCACCAACTACCAGAAATGACCAAAGAATATATCTCCCAATTAGTTTTCGATCCGTAAGTGTATTTGTTACTTTATCATTTACATAATTCATTTTGCAAGTTTTTCTACAGAACTGTTGATATTTTTCAGAAAACACAAAACCTTAGCACTTATCAAGGAAGGCAGGCCCATTGGTGGAATTTGCTTCAGGACATTTAGTTCACAGGTATGATCAAGTACAAACATTTTGTGTATAATAACGCAAGTACCAATGTGATATTTTCCGAGTTATACGTACTTCCTAAGATTATCTAGACACCACTGACAAACGGTGAAGGAAAACATCGTGAGGAAACCTAGGCTTATCATTTCTAATTATAAATTTGAATGGCCAACCCGCATTGAGCAAGCGTGGTGATTAATGCTCAAATCTTCTCCGTGTGAGAAGATGCTTTTGGTCAGCAGTGGCCACTTATAGGCTGTTGATGATAATGATGAACTAACATAAGAAATTCTAAAGGAATTATAATAATATTTACTCACCTAACTGTACGAGGGGGCTCGACTAATTCAAACCACGATCAGGACTCATAATTCTGATTCTATGAGTATATTACGTGCTAATAGCCATTTTATCTAATCGCCTCTAAACCATATCTTAACTAAACGTTACTTTTTATTACATCTAAACTAACCCCTTTCCTTTACGTGTCACTTATAAGTTGGTAAGAAAGAGTTAGTCAATTAAAGAACAATAGGTTGCGGTCACCGGTGACCGCTCGGTGTTTGATAGTTTAATTGTGTCTATAATGACGGTACTCAAAGGGTTAAAATTAAAATTTTAGAAGAGGTTAATTATTGTATTTTTCGGTTTATCGCATAAGTATTTGACGAGGAACTAGACTAGTTCAAGCCATGCTTAAGGTTACACTAGTCGATATTTTTTCCATAGAAAGTTCGGGGTGGTATTACTCCACAGTGTGAATTTGTATCTCCAAAATTAAACACGACAACGTTTTATCTTGTAATTACATTTGTCGGTACGGAAACAAAAAAAAAATAAAACACACGATTAAAAAGTTACGAGCCACCAAAGTTTTGTTTTTCATGACAATTTTGACGCAACTTTGGGTGTTAAAAAGTACCACTAATCGTGTAAAATCTCCAAACCGTAGACCGTACCGACACAGCACAATTACCAGTGAGTTCTATAAAATTTATTTGAAATTGATCTAAGCAGTGGTTTTTTCAAAAATCGCTTTTTTCTAAAGCACTAAATCGTACTTTCATCGTACTCGTTTTACGATGAATTATCGTGCATTTCATTTGACAAAATTCCCCCGGCAGCGGCGCGGGGCGGAGGGAAGACGCTCACGCGTTTTTGCACAATTTTTTGCACGACAGCGCGTGTCGTGCAAATCATTTGACTATTTTCTATTGTTTTGGACTCGGTCGACTTAGTCTGCTGCTGTGGCCTACGTGATTTGTATCGTATGTGTAGACTATTCTCCTTACCCTTATCTTACGACTGGAGCTTTGCGACCGGTGCGGTGGTGTGGTGTCGATAGGTAGGATAGGAGTAGGTGTATACCTACACAAGATGCCCTTTATACGATGACACGATCGTACCCTATTTATTAGTAGGTAGGTACTAAGGTGTTATTCGCGGGACGTAAGTTGAACAAAAATATAATTGTTAGTTATCAACGAAGCCACGAGTAAGTACCTACCTACCTATATAAAAGCTTGTAAGTAAACTGTCCGTAGGTATTATAGTGCGAGGTGTACGATACTTATATTATTTATCGTAAAACCGATATACCTATACTAAACAATGTAAATAAATTGCAGTGTCAGTTTGTACCAAATATTAAAATACCTTCCTACATAGATTTTTTCATACTCACACTGCTATTTGCACGATAAGTAGGTAAAAAAACTACTTATTCCTTTGGACATAGGTACCTACGTATAACAAACAGAAAGACAGATTAGACAGAAAAAACAAATAAATAGTTTTTAAACCCATTTTTTATTTATTTATTTTTGTATACTGTGTACTGCCTCGTTGGCCGAGTGGTCGTAAGTGCGGCTGCCGAGCAAGGGGTCTCGGGTTCGATTCCCGAGTCGGGCAAAGTATTACTGGGTTTTTAAATATCCTCAGTAGTAGCACGGAGTCTGGAATTGTGCCCGGTATATGGCAATAGGCTAATCCCCTATTACATGGGACTCCATAAATAGTGAAAAGTGGGTGTTACATTGTACAGTGGTATACCTAATGTGTCCGATTCGGAGTCGCGGAGAACCTAACGGGTAACCGGGGCTCCGGCTCGACGTGCAGGAGAAGGAACGGGGTGGTTTTTAGTCAGTAAGAGTCTGACACTCCCTTCCGCCTCACCCAGGCGGGAGCAGTCATTCGATGATTTTCCACCCTTAAAAAAAAAAAAAATACCTAATGTGCACCTCTGTTATGTTATGTGTTATGTTATTTTTGTATTTTTCCTATTTATTTTTCCGTCTGTCTGTCTTTCTATTTGTTCAGGTCAATGTTCAATTCGGCTGGACCGAATTGATATTTTACTAGCAGGTAGGTACACTACGTTTACGTACCTACGGTATGCTTGTTTAGCCATCCTTCCTAATAATACCTAAGTAATAATAATATTCCACAACTATCACACAACTCTGTAGGTACCTACCCTGTCCAGTCCCAAACTAAGCAGAGCTTGTAGGTACCTACTAGACAACAGATTTACATACTTAGAGGTATATTTCTAAATATTTACATATTATTATAATTAGATAAAAACACCCAGACAGAAGAAATGATCATGCTTATTATAAATCAAACTTTACCTCTTTAGGCTCTTTATAATAAATTATTGTAGATTACCGCAAGTAGGAATATTGATAATATCAACGGGCAACCGCCAATCCGAATGTTTTCGCACAAAATACATAGGTACAGAAGTCAATCTCATGTAGGTATGTACCTGCTTCACTGTTTATACCTACGTGCTCGAGCGCGCTTTGTATGTAGTTATACCATAGAACTAACTAGGTACCTTTATATTTTGTGGCTATCGCGCTCCGTGAGAACTCGATTGGGGTTGTCAACTATACTTTTTATTACGTTTCTTACTTTATTTTTAGCAAGTAAACATACTTTTAGGTAATTACCTACTTTTACGAAAACTAAATAAATACAACAAATATTGTAGGTACCTATTAGGTTTAGTAGGTACATAATTGTACCTACTGTAGGTACATACATACTTATTGTAGGTACATACATAATTATTGGTACTTAGAAAAAAAAGTAACTGCTTACCTACAGAATTACATCCCTAACCTTTCGTAGATTCTTCGGATATTGTGTTATCAACTTTTCATAAAAAAATTTCAGTAATTACAATGCCCTGTGACAATAATTACTAAAATTCATGCGAGCATCATAAAATCGTAGCAGCGCGTACGACTTTACTACGAGTAAACACACACAGCACAGATATATGCACCGTTCAGTGACGGTGACGTTTTGCTGTGTTTGTGTGCGTGCGAACAATACGTCGTGCAAATAGATAGCGTCTAACTGCTCATCACTGGTACTATTTCTGTCGCACACGATATTAGATGAGACAGCGCGCTTTTTGGCCACGCCCTTGATTGAGTTCGAGCCCGCGACTAGTTTAACCTTAAGGTTCATATTCATGAGTAGCATTCTGTTACCCTCGGCGCAGCGACTGTCGCGCTGCTACTGTCAAGTTCCTCGTCAAATTATTACGTGAGTAAGCCGAAAAAAATTATAATTAAATTAGTATGTCACCCAAAAGTTATAATATAAATTAAGACAGGTTGGCGAAAAGGGCCTAAACCTTTCTATTATCCTTACTTCCTTACTAATATTATAAATCGGAAAGTGAGTTTGTTTGTTTGTTTGTTTGTTCCGACTTCACGCCGTAACTACTAAACCGATTGCATTGAATTTTTGCAGACGTAAAGTTAGTAGTCTGGATTAAATAATAGGGTACTTTTTATCCCGAAAAAATTTTATACTCCCGAGGGAAAACAAAAGTATTGGTATAGATGGCGCTGTATGTATAGGTATATGTCACATAGGCTATCCTTTTGTGACGCGAGCGAAGCCGCGGGTAAAAGCTAGTTTATAATAAACTAGAAACATTTAAAATTAACGTTTTCTATATTTGAACAGGGTTTCAGTGAGATAGTATTCTGCGCGGTGACATCTAACGAGCAAGTCAAGGGTTACGGGACCCATCTAATGAACCACCTCAAGGACTACCACATCAGGAACAATATCCTACACTTCTTGACCTTCGCTGATGAGTTCGCTATCGGTTTGTATTATATTTATTAATATGGAGTGCACATGTATAAATTGTACGTAAATATTAAGGTGAACTTAAAGGTCTGTTTGTTTTCTGGCAATTGGCAAGAAAATTTTATATAGTATCAACGTTAACACAGTGTAAATCACTCAAATTATTGTTCATAATTCGATAATGATTATGGTTTGTATATGGTGGAGGGCTCCACCATTTTAATTCAAAAGTTAATGTAATACATATTTTAAATTAACTGAAATCACGGGTTACTTACGTAAATATACTGAGAAAAGCTCTACTAGTTTCGAACCACAGAGGGGTTCATTCTCATGAGCAGCGCGCGCGGTCGCGGCGACGTCGCGCTTGGTTCGAAACTAGTAGAGCTTTTCTCAGTATATTCACGTGAGTAACCCGCGATTTCAGTTAATTTAGTATGTCTCACAATAGTTATTATAAAAACGTATTACATATTTCTCGTGATATAGTATATACAAAAATAGTTTTTTGCCACAAGTCGCACTTGCGACCACTCGACCAACGAGGCAGTCTAAGTAGGTATTAGTATTAATAAACATAAAATTTCCCCAGGCTACTTCAAGAAGCAAGGTTTCAGTAAGGACATAAAGTTACCGCGCGCGATGTACCAGGGCTACATCAAGGACTACGAGGGCGCCACGCTCATGCACTGCGAGCTCAACCCACGCATCGTATACACGCAGTTTACTTCCATCATACGGAGGCAGAAAGAGGTAACAAGACTTTATTACTATTCAATGAAAGAAAGAAAGAAAGAAAAATAATTTATTTCGTACAGCACCAGGCACAAACACAATACAATAAATACAATGCAAACAAAAAATTAGGAGTGAAATAAAAAAAAAACAAAAATAGATGTAGGTATATACAAAATTTAAAAGTTAAATATATCAACATTAATACTCATGTGCCCGACAGCTGCACCAAAAAATCAAAATACACTCTTTGTTGTCGTCCTATATAATGCTTCAACTACTGTTACCTCTAACCCGAATGCCAAGAGTGGAGATTATAGCAACCCCACCTATGTAGAGGACACTTATAAAACAGGAGTGGACCGTTTCGAGCAGTTACTGATAACATTATACTATATTTACGAAAAAAAGCCTTTGACCACGTGTGCAATCCTTCTATATCTAATTTATATTTTGCAGATCGTTAAAAAGCTGATCGACATGCGGCAGAAAGACGTAAGGAAAATTCATCCGGGATTGACGTGTTTCAAGGAAGGCGTAAGTTAACATTTGTTTAACTCATTTTAGAATTTGTTGCAAAGCATTTAAGATGAAAATGAAATACCTGGTGTATGTACATGTACAGTACATGTATTCAAAAAGTCCTAAAAGTCAAAGCATTTATTTCGATTAAACCATAATTTTGGTACTTTTGAAACTTCAACAAATACAAAATAAATAATAGTCAGTCAGACCGTCAGTGAAGCTAGGTGAAGCTAGGTGCTCATTCCAAAATGTAGATTCGAATGGAGAAGAACGAGCAAGAAATTCCATTACTGTCTTTCTTTATCATAACAGATACAACGCAGCCACTGATCTCCTCTGGTATGCATCCCCTGGTCCCCTGAGGTCCTTACCAACCAACTATTTAGCATTACACCTTAATACCCCCAGGTTCGCAGTATCCCAGTGGAATGTATACCGGGTCTCCGTGAGACAGGCTGGCGCGGCCCGGCCCGGCCTCACGCCACGGACCACGACCCTGAACCTGACGCCGCTACTCTCAAAAATATATTACACGCGGTAAGTTAAAATAATGTGTAAATACTCATATAGGCGCACTGCATCGTAGGCCGCATCATAGCTTATCATCATACAAGACAGTGGCCATTTCCAATATAATAAAAGTATACACATCCCCATCCCCTTCCCCTATCCCTGAATCCTCAACAATCCTCAAATTCATAATCCCCAAAAGGCCGGTAACGCACTTGTAACGCGTCTGGTGTTTCGAGTGTCCATGGGCGACACCGATTGCTTACCATCAGGCGATCCGTCTGCTCGTTTACCGTATTGGCGTATCCCATAGAAAAACCACATAGTGTGTAGAAATGAACATTTTTCGTTGTAAGTCCTTTTAATTAATAAGTGCATATTCCCAGGTGAAAAATCACACATCAGCTTGGCCATTCTTGAAGCCAGTGGACAAGACAGAAGTACCGGATTATTACGATCACATCAAGTATCCTATGGGTGAGTACACTTGTTCTATCTGTCCTAACTTCAAACAGTCCCTTTTTATGATGACGGGGAGATACCTTCAAAAGGCGCCTAGGTTTTTGGGGATAAAAGACTAGGGAGTGTGGGATGTTTACCTCACTAAAACCACCCCGGTGGCCACCCTCAACACCGGGTCCTCTAAAAGAGACCTGCTCCGGAGCCCTCACGGTGCAACGTCTATTACGGCACATCCCTAGGGAAACGGGCGTCTCTTTTAAGCCTCGCTGTGTATGGCGACGCGTGACCACCGTGCTACCGTCTTCCCACTGGGTGGTCACCTAAAGCCGTGTGGGATTAAATTAAGAACTTGCCTTCATCAAAACAGATTATTTCCACTATACAATAAAATATTTAATAAATAATCACGCTTTCATTAATTGATTTTATTACCAACTTAATTTTAGTACTTTTCCACCAAATTTTTAAGAAATAATTACGCTGTTTGAAGCTGAAAAACCGTGACGTCACAATACACAATCTCGTACAAAATTTATAGAAAACTGTCGTTCTTGACAGTTAGAAAAAAGTATTGAATTTGTCTAGTTGGCAAGTACCCAATTGTTGTAGTATATCATGCGATATCTAATATACCAAATTTCACTTATAACTTCATTCAAAGTTCAATATTGACTAATAAATACTATTATTCTAACACGTATAGATCTGCGCACGATGGTGGATCGTCTAAAAGCGCGGTACTACGTATCGAAGCGGTTGTTCATAGCGGACATGACACGGATATTCACCAACTGTCGGCTCTACAACTCGCCTGATACTGACTACTACAGGTAAGCTAACAATTTGTATTGTATTATATCATATTCCAACAAAATGTTAAAAATAGATACTTGTCGTAAATCTTCATTAACTGCGATTGATAATTTTTGATACTATTTTATACATACATAACATCACGCCTTTTATCCCCGAAGGGGTAGGCAGAGGTGCACACAAAAGTAACACCCACTTTCTACTATTTGTGTTATGAGTCCCACGTAATAGGGGGTGAGCCTAATGCCATTTACCGGGCTTGTGCCCGGACAAGCTAGTCTCAGTAATAGCACGGAGTCTGGAAACAAATCCGCGCTTAAGTATAGTTCTGTCACTACAAATTGTTTGTAAAATGACAGAGATAGCACGATATTTAAGTATGACTTAAAATGGAGTAGCCTTTCAGTATTCGGGCGTTAGATTTGATTCTCAGTTCGAATAAAAACTTTGGAATACACGGGAAACACAGTGTAATGAAAAGTTACTACTTATATATTTTTTTTTATGGCATAAGCTGGTAAACGAGCAGACGGATCACCTGATGGTAAGCAATGGGCGTCGCCCATGGACACCTAGAATATTAGAGGCGTTACAAGTGCGTTACCGGCCTTTTGGGGATTAGGAGTTTGAGGATCGTTGGGGATTCAGAAATTGGGGAGATTGAGGAAGGGAAGAGTAATTGGGCCTCCGGTAACCTCACTCACACGACGAAACACAACGCAAGCGTTGCTTCACGTCTGTTTTCTGTGAGGTCGTGGTATCACTCCGGTCAAGCCGGCATATTCGTGCCGAAGCATGGCTCTCCCACACTTGACTTCTATTCTTCACTATGCACTTGTTAACATTGTATTTACTATTCTTCCCTGGTCACACGATATAAAAAATAGCATTATCTTATTCATCACAATTCAATATTTAAATATTTATTCAACAGATGCGCGAACACATTAGAGAAATACTTTCACACCAAAATGAAGGAGGCTGGCCTGTGGGACAAATGATCGGAGTTCGATTTCGACGCGTACTTCGCGATCGAGATGAATGATTCGCGACCATAATTATGACACCGTATGAAAATATACTATTTAAACATCGTAAGTTTCCATTTGTGGCTCAATATTTCTTGTCTTTAACTTCATGGTCAGTAAAAATAACCATTCTGTTCGTAGATTTGACTACTATTATAATTTTGATACAAAACCTGATAAAGATGTGTGGAATTTCATCTCCTTTAGACAAATCTGCGGAAATATATAGTTTTTTGAGACTGAACGCTATTTTTGGTACCACGATCCTATCTTTATAAGTTTAATAAACAAATTCCCTCCTACAGTGGGATGAAAATAATACTTCATTGTGTCTGTATCTTCTCTTCTGCATATTGGTTGTCTATAAAACCTAAGTTTTAGTGTGTCTAAATATAATGACGGCATTCGCGTTATTGTATTTAAAATTAACGCAACTGCCGTTATTGTATATTTTTCTTTTTTAAATATTTAGAAATGGCTTCAGAGTGTTTTGCTCAATCAGAACTTTGAATATTTATTTTACATAAGTAAAAAAGAAAATGATGTTATTTCAAGCATTATAATATGAGTAATAAGGTGTAATATTGCTCGTACATTAACAGACTGATGATATTTTTGTATGTTTTGCGCTAATTATTGTTTAGAACTGTCAACAAATTACGTTTCCAACTTGTTATCACTTTATCCTAAAGTTATCATTAGAAATCAACTTGCGCCATTATTTTCTTCCCAGGGAAAGATGACGCAATAGAGTCTACCGTTTTTGCTCACTAGATGGCGCTAATATAGAATAAAGTAGACAGTTTATCCAATCACTTCCTTCCTCTGTCGTTTGGCTCTTGGCTGAGTGGTCTTGACCACGTTGAGAAAACCGTATTTACACTACTGTCTTCACGATCTCCTGCCGCCTCTCTCTGTTTGTGGACTGTCTGGCGCGGTTTGACAGTTTGGTGTCAATGTTGCTATCAAAAATTTAACATCAAATGACACTATAATACATTGGCGTTAAGAATGCAGTAAATCATCATTGTCTGTCGGCCTAGTCCCGCCCCTAAACTGATTTGAAACTTTTTAGTATATTTTTATATTTCATTAAACTTAGCGCCGGTTTCACCACCTCTATGAATAAGTATCTGATAAACTTTGTGACAGATAGTTCATACAAATTACGTTCTTAATTCAAATTTATCTGGTAGATAACGGCTACCCAGATAATGCGAAAAAGGCCCTTAATATTTTAAAATATACTTTGTTTGAATGTCATACCACTCTAAATACACCTTTACTGTACGTACACTTGCACTGGATGACTCCGCAGTCTTAACGCGAACAAGTTATAGCTAATTTCCTACCAGTCTAAAAACCTAGAGGTCCACACCAGCACCATCTAGTGAGCAAAAAGCTGTAGCCCCCACTATTTCCTACATGATCTGCAACACACTTGTCATAAAGTCTGTCAAGCGAGTCTAGACCCATAAAAAGGCGGCAAATTAAAAATCTTTCAGGTGTCAACTATAGCACGCTGAAAACTTATTGATACTTGAATTTTTGATAAAAAAAAACATATTTAAAATGAATAAAAACAATCAATAAGTTTTCAGCTTGCTATATCAGTGTTGACACCTGAAAGATTTTTGAATTTGCCGCCTTTTTCATGGGACTAGACTCGCTTGACAGACTATTGCCGGAATACTGAAACTTTACTCCAATTTTAAGTCGTGCTTAAATATCGTGCCATCTCTGTCATTTTACAAAGAATTTGTAGAGACAGAACTATACTTAAGCGCGACTTAAAATTGAGTAACGTTTCAGTATTCCGACATATATCTCTTGTGTTGCAGTAACCAGTGCCTTTAGCCAAACGCTACTTTAGCGCTTATCTACAGAGAGAGTAGAAATCAAAATGTATGGGGATGACACTGACAAGTGCCAAAATTTGCGTCAATTCCATATAATTTGGTTTTCTATTCTACATGTAGACAAGCGCTAAATGGCATTTGGCTACAGCTGCCAGGCTACAGTGATAATTTACTATCGGGCCAACCGTAAACTTTGTATTTCTTTGTACCGATAAGAGTACAAAAAATGTAAATCAATAAAGACGATTTTTGTTAATATCTTGCTCTCTTGTTGGATATATTCTTGAGCGTATGCTATATTGTATTGTATATATTGTTGTGTTACAATCTACGTAACGAAAAATAGTAATAGATAGTTGAAAAATCTTTTGCAAGTATATTTCTATGTAACTTGCATTTTATCTAATAAAAAGATGTATACAGTCAGCCTGTCATTACTTTAGTTAAAGTATGAAATAATTATGTGACAAAATGTTGATTGTGTGAAATGATGCTGGCCGTATGTTTTAGTAAAATATCCTTTTTTCTCTATTGAACTTAGAGAATTACATGAATGTAAACTTCATGAGTAGTTTTAAGTCTTAAAACTAATAAATCAACTGTTTAATTTTTAAATATAATGAAGTAACTTTCAAAATGTTATATCAAGTTAGTGTGGATACCGTTGTAAAGTATGTTATTGTGTGATTTCTCTGTCGAAATTAGCTCACTCCCTATTACATGGGACTCAAAACATAGTGAGAAGTTATGTTGGATATGTGCACCTCTGCCTACCCCTTCGACGGTTAAAATTGATTTTATATTATGTTATCAACCAAACTATTATTGGATGTCAATGATTTGTTTAATTGTGATTTTTAGTATTAAAGAGTTACACGGCGTTGTTTTTATTTCAATCATTTCTGTTTTCGTCTTTGTACTGTCTAACAACGCTTGTAGCTTTATAATTTGTCGTTTATGATATTGTGGTATTTTGAACTTTGGCTACGTTAAAATGAATCATTACACCCAACAATGTAATTCAAAATGGTATTGTCTCTTTGAAGATCTTATTTTATACTTCGATGTAAATATTTGTATTGGCATTTCTGTGTATCACGTTTAGTCAATAAAGTATTTTTTATATTATTTTTTTGTTTAATTTCTGCTCCTTTAGCCTCTTGTCTGTTGAAGCACCGGCTCCCGGTATAAATGTTACCGGCCAAACCCGATTTCAGGAAAAACTAGTTTTGCCTAGGCTAAACTAGTTCTTCCTATACGCGTTAGGATTAACTAGTATAGCCTAGTTCAAACTAATTTGTCCTAAGCCCGATAGGATAAACCAGTATAGGCTAGGACAAACTATTGATCCTGATATAAATAGGCGCACTCTAGGATAAACTGGTATGGCCTAGTCTAAACATTCTAATATAGGTATCTAGAAAGTCAAAATAAATAGATAAATTAAATTAAATACTCCGTAATTGATAAAATAATCATTTTTATTAAACTATAATGATTCGTCGTTAAAACTTATGGTTAATTGGTAATACAAACTATAACAAATAATAAGTGTTTTTTAAAAGAAGCAATAATTATTTGAAGGTTATTAATTTAAAATCATAATGATTCGTTGCTACAAGTTGTAGATAATAATTGGCAATACAAACAATCATACTATAACTGACAATAGTTTATTTATCACATAACATCACGCCTTTTACCCCCGAAGGGGTAGGCAGAGGTGCACATTATGCCACTGAACAATGTAACATCCACTTTTAACTATTTATGTTACGAGTCCTATGTAACAGGCCTATTGCCATATACCGGGCATAATTCCAGACTCCGTGCTACTACTGGGATTTTGTTTTTAAAAACCTAATAAGTAATACTATGCCCGATCCGGGAATCGAATCCGAAACCCTTTGCCCGGCAGACGCATTTGCTACCACTTGGCTAACGAGACAGTCACCCTGTTTTTTAATAAACGCAATAATCATACTACGACTACGCCATACCAGTTTATCCTAGAATGTGCGTATTTATATCAGGATCAACTAGTTTGCCCTAGCTTAAACTGGTTTATCCTATCGGGCTTAGGACAAATTAGTTTGAACTAGGCTATACTAGTTCATCCTAACCCGTATAGGAAGAACTAGTTTAGCCTAGACAAAACTAGTTTGTCCTGAAATCGGGTTTGGCCGGTAACATAAACACTTTATGGCCGCAACTTTCAACAAACAAGAGGTTAGCCTAGCTATTTCATGGAATCATTAAATAGTCTCTATTTAAAATGTATTATTGATTAGCTTGTAAATTCTGCCAGAGGTTTCGTTCATGTAGCCGTGTCATGAAAAGTAGCCTATATGTTTGTCCATAATCTACTCCTATTCCAAAGGATGACGGGCAAACATGTGTGAGGAATGTACCTACCGACCAATAGCGGACAGACGCATGTCGTCAGAAAGCTCTTCATGGCTATAATTTGTAACTATGGCGGCTAGTGTCAATTCGTCCGGCCACCGTAAGCGCGGGCCTGCGGACAGCAAGCATGGGTGGCTCCCCGTCCGACCAGAAACAGACCCGAGCGTACGGCGCGTCGCGTTCCGCGCGCGCCTCAAAGAGCTCTCAGACCACCACGGATGGGCCCAACAGGTTAACATGAACCTAACGGGTTACCGGGGCTCCGGCTCGACGTGCAGGAGAAGCAACGGGGTGATTTTTAGTCAGTAAGAGTCTGACACTCTCTCCCGCCTCAGGCGGGAGCAGTCATTTGATGATGTTGTAGGGAAACTGTTTTAAATGATCTATTAAACAAAGGATAATGCAAACCAAATGTATGAACCCACCCCTCAATAGCAGCATGTACACCGTTGGATAGGTCTGCTTAAATGAAACAATAGTTTTGAATACACCTATGGTCAAATCAGGGCCGGATTTAGGAGGGGGGCAACCGGGGCGAAAGCCCCGGGGCCTCCACAAGCAGGGGGCCTCCACAATAGAGACTTCGGAAAAAAAAATGTTTCAAATTTCAACTAGTAAACCTAGTAAACATCTTTTCTTTGATATTTTTTTTTCGCTTTTACCTTTACCTACAGCCTAAAGTACTTTATACATACATGATTTTTTGATTATATTAATTTTAAATATTGGCAATTAGTGAAATATCAAAATCTCAAATGGCTCTGACAAGCACTTCCAATTTACTACCCATCTTGTGGGAGTACCCCAATGGCTCAAAAGCTCAGTGGGATGGTACTTGCCCGCAACCTCGGAGGTTGGCTATTCGATTCCGTGTCTCGACCATTAAAAAAATTTATTGCAGTATGTGAACAATTCTTCAATTCTTAAACTCGAAACAATCGAGCGTCCTCGATTGTTTTCGAGCGTCCTCGAAATCTATCGAGAGTTCTCGATCGTTTTCGAGCGTCCTCGATCGTTTTCGAGCATCCTCGATTGTTTTCGAGCGTCCTCGAAATCTATCGGGCGTCCTAGAAATCTATCGAGCGTCCTTGAAATCAATCGAGCGTCCTCGAAATCTATCGAGCGTCCTCGATCGTTTTCGAGCGTCCTCGATTGTTTTCGAGCGTCCTCGAAATCTATCGAGAGTTCTCGATCGTTTTCGAGCGTCCTCGATTGTTTTCGAGCGTCCTCGAAATCTATCGAGAGTCCTCGATCGTTTTCGAGCATCCTCGTAATCTATCGGGCGTCCTCGAAATCTATCGAGCGTCCTCGAAATCAATCCAGCGTCCTCGAAATCTATCGAGCGTCCTCGAAATCAATCGACCATCCTCGATTGTTTTCGAGCGTCCTCGAAATATATCGAGAGTTCTCGATCGTTTTCGAGCGTCCTCGATCGTTTTTGAGCATCCTCGATTGTTTTCGAGCGTCCTCGAAATCTATCGGGCGTCCTCGAAATCTATCGAGCGTCCTCGAAATCTATCGAGCGTCCTCGAAATCAATCGAGCGTCCTCGAAATCAATCGAGCGTCCTCGATTGTTTTCGAGCGTCCTCGATTGTTTTCGAGCGTCCTCGAAATCTATCGAGCGTCCTCGAAATCTATCGAGAGTCCTCGATTGTTTTCGAGCGTCCTCGAAATCTATCGAGCGTCCTCGAAATCTATCGAGAGTCCTCGATCGTTTTCGAGCGTCCTCGAAATCTATCAAGAGTTCTCGATCGTTTTCGAGCGTCCTCGACCGTTTTCGAGCGTCCTCGATCGTTTTCGAGCGTCCTCGATCGTTTTCGAGCATCCTCGATTGTTTTCGAGCGTCCTCGAAATCTATCGAGAGTCCTCGATCGTTTTCGAGCATCCTCGATTGATTTCGAGCGTCCTCGAAATCTATCGGGCGTCCTCGAAATCTATCGAGAGTCCTCGATCGTTTTCGAGCGTCCTCGAAATCTATCGAGCGTCCTCGAAATCTATCGGGCGTCCTCGAAATCTATCGAGAGTCCTCGATCGTTTTCGAGCGTCCTCGAAATCTATCGGGCGTCCTCGAAATCAATCGAGCGTCCTCGAAATCTTTCGAGCGTCCTCGAAATCTTTCGAGCGTCCTCGAAATTAATCGAGCGTCCTCGATTGTTTTCGAGCGTCCTCGAAATCTATCAAGAGTTCTCGATCGTTTTCGAGCGTCCTCGATCGTTTTCGAGCGTCCTCGATCGTTTTCGAGCATCCTCGATTGTTTTCGAGCATCCTCGATTGTTTTCGAGCGTCCTCGAAATCTATCGAGCGTCCTCGAAATCTATCGAGAGTCCTCGATCGTTTTCGAGCGTCCTCGAAATCTATCAAGAGTTCTCGATCGTTTTCGAGCGTCCTCGACCGTTTTCGAGCGTCCTCGATCGTTTTCGAGCGTCCTCGATCGTTTTCGAGCATCCTCGATTGTTTTCGAGCGTCCTCGAAATCTATCGAGAGTTCTCGATCGTTTTCGAGCGTCCTCGATCGTTTTCGAGCGTCCTCGATTGTTTTCGAGCGTCCTCGAAATCTATCGAGAGTCCTCGATCGTTTTCGAGCGTCCTCGAAATCTATCGGGCGTCCTCGAAATCTATCGAGCGTCCTCGAAATCAATCGAGCGTCCTCGATCGTTTTCTAGCGTCCTCCATTGTTTTCGAGCGTTCTCGAAATCTATCGAGAGTCCTCGATCGTTTTCGAGCGTCCTCGATTGTTTTCGAGCGTCCTCGAAATCTATCGAGAGTCCTCGATCGTTTTCGAGCGTCCTCGAAATCTATCGGGCGTCCTCGAAATCTATCGAGCGTCCTCGAAATCAATCGAGCGTCCTCGATTGTTTTCGAGCGTCCTCGAAATCTATCGAGAGTCCTCGATCGTTTTCGAGCGTCCTCGAAATCTATCGGGCGTCCTCGAAATCTATCGAGCGTCCTCGATTGTTTTCGAGCGTCCTCGAAATCTATCGAGAGTTCTCGATCGTTTTCGAGCGTCCTCGAAATCAAGCGAGCGTCCTCGATCTTAATCTGGAAAATAATTTGGGGCAAGGGGGCCTCCACTCCTTTGTTGCCCCGAGGCCTCTGGACCCCTAAATCCGGCCCTGGCCAAATGTTAGCATCTCTGGAGGTACGACGTCCTAAAGTTATTTCAATCTAAACACTGAAAGATTATAAAAGCACTAGAACTCTGAACTCACTGACTTTTGACCTCAGTCGTAATATGAAGTTTTATTGTGCACTAGCTTTTGCCCGTGACTTCGTACGCGCAATCCCGTTTCTTCCATCCCCTTTTAGGATTTTCAGGACATTTTCTGTCATAAGAACCTTCTCCTGACGATAACAAACAACAAAACCAAAATCAGCCAAATCGGTCTGGCCGTTCTCAAGTTATGGCATTACAACGGGAAACGGGTCTGGGCCCACAACTTTACTCTATGTCCTTTTAACATAACAACATCACGCCTTTTATCCCCGAAAGGGTAGGCAGCACATTACGGCACTGAATGCCACTGTACAATACAACACCCAATTTTCACTATTTATACTATGAGTCCCATCTAATAGGGGAATGAGTCTATTGCCATATACCGGGCACAATTGCAGACTCCGTGCTACTACTGAGATTTTTTTTAAACTCAGTAATACATTGCCCTACCCGGGAATCGAAGAGACCCCTTGCCCTGCAGTCGCACTTGCGACAACTCTGCCAACGAGGCAGTCGTTTAATAGATATCATATATGTAACTATAACATTTTCCCCACAACGAATTGAGACTAGCCCCCATAATAACAAATGATAGTCTAAAAAGAGCTTTCTAATGATATACGTCTGGTCGTTATTAGTCGGTAGGTACATTCTGTTAGGCGGAGCGCGTGAGGGAACGAACCTCCTCACGACCCGGCCGTCGCGAGAGACACTCAGGGCGTCGGGGATCGCGAGACGATCTCCGGCCACATAAGCACGGGCCTGCAGACGGCGAGCATGGGTGACTCGCCGCCCGACCAGAACCAGGCCCGAGCGTACGGCGCGTCGCGTTCCGCGCGCGCCTCAAGGAGCCATCAGACCACCACAGATGGGGCCTAACAAGGCTGATGCCGATACGGAGCCGCGGAAGACTTAACGGGTTGCCGGGGCTCCGGCTCGAAGTGCAGGAGTAGGAACGGGGTGGTTTTTAGTCAGTAAGAGTCTGACACTCCCTCCCGCCTCACCCAGGCGGGAGAAGTCATTGGATGATTTTCCCCCCTCAAAAAAAAAAAAAAGGTACATTCTGTTCGTCATCCTTTCATCCAGATTAGTTCTGTTGCGATTGAGTAAAAAATACAGACAAACTCGCTCACATGCCTTCACATTTATTAAGTAAAATACTGCCTGCTTGCCCCCGAGCAAATAACATTTTATACGCTATTGGAACACGTAAATAGATTATTCAATTTATGCGATTGACCTCGAAAATCATGATATTCAAAGTTAAGGGCCTATCATAATATAATTTGAGCCCCCAAACCAACCCTCCATCGAGGGATATCAATCTATCAACCTTTATCAATAGCTATTCGTACCTCGATAACTTTTATATTGTACCTACGACACCTTTTCTATTTTAACCTTCGGTGTCAGAATATTTTTAAGCTCAATATCTCCCAAGGTCATTTGAACAGCAAATATTTCTCTTTAGGGGGTGTATGCACCTAAGGGACTACAAAAATGACGTGGCTAGGACCTCTAGTTTTTTAGATATACGAAATGATGTTGATTAAGGGCTCGTACACAAAACTGCGACGCGACGTCGCATCGCAAGAACTTGCGAATTGATTCGCATCGCGCCTCAAAATCTTATCTTCCCAATATCTTCTTTGTTTCTTTTTCCTTTATCTCCTAAGCAATAACAAAAGTGCACATTTCTTTTTACGATCTATGTCACGTCACGACTTAGTTTTCAATTTAAAATACGTTTAGTACGGTTGACGGTCGTCGAAGAAATGGTCACCTTGGGAGACGCCTTGTCGTACGAAATAGCATCGCAGCAATTCGCATCGCGTCGCAGTTTTGTGTACGAGCCCTAAGGCATGTTAGTAAAGGGTTGTGTACAATAAAAGACAAATATCAATACTGTATTGGTTTTTATTTCAACACATATATTATGTTCGCACGTCGATATACGAGCAACATTCGAATTGAACAAGAATGGGAATGTAAACATTTTTACACATTTATTAATTATCGGTTATTAAAAAGTACATACCAGTCTCCTTGTTTATATAAAATCCAATGGATTTAAGTACCTTTTTGTCTATTTTCGTATATAATAACTTAAATGCTCACTTAAAATAACTTAAATTAACATATTTTTTAAGATAGACACAGTTTGAAAGCATTAAGTCGCTTTTAAATACAGTTTTTGTGAACACAAACACTTTTGATTCAAGAGAAATTGTTGCCGCTATCGCAAAATATGCTTTATCGGACCTATCTCTTATATGAGGCTGGTATAAAACAAGCAGAACAGAAAGTTCAAAATTGAATAACACAAAAATTCATATTTCAATACATTAGCCTCGGAACTTATATCATCAAACTATTTATTTTACAACTGAATTTAAAAGCGACATTATCTTCAGACTAGATTTTATTAACTACATATTTCAAGTCACGAAATTAGTGTTTAATGTATTGTTAACAAAGTTTTCACTAACATTGCACCATTGGGAAGTAGGTACACGAAAGATATAAAGTTCCTTATGAACATCCGCTAAAACATACATACGTAGAATGAATTCAGTTGCGACATGGCCCCATTTTCACATCAAAGTCTTTCGATATAACAATTACTGAATAGAAGCTTACAATCATTCATATGGCTGACAGAATGTAGAAAACTACACCTAAATTACGACTGCAAACTAAATGAGCATCCTTTAGATGGATAGACGTCTAGTAGAGCGGGTACAATGTACATACAATGTTTCGTTTTAATACGTATACAAGCGATGACTACAGTCGTTAGACGAGGCATTACTGTTATCTTGTTAGTTATTATCATATGGACGGATACCCTTAATCCCAAACAGGTTATAGTTACAAAAGAAGGGCCACCACAACTAACAGTTATATTAGTCACACGAATGTTATGTTACACCAGAATACAGAATAACACAGGCTACAATTAACTTATGAGATCACGAACCAATCAAAAACAATTAATTATAAGTACGACGAACATTTGATTGATTTCAAATACATATTTCATAGAAAAAGGTATTTTTTTGTTGATTTTTTTTTTACAAAAGGTCTCTGACGCCAAGCGCGAATAACTATCGCATTCGTAACGTAATAGTATGTCGCGGAGAACCTAACGGGTAACCGGGGCTCCGACTCGACGTGCAGGAGAAGGAACGGGGTGGTTTTTAGTCAGTAAGAGTCTGACACTCCCTCCCGCCTCACCCAGGCGGGAGCAGACATTCGATGATATTCCCCCCTTAAAAAAACACGTAATAGTATCGAGCGCGTTCGGCGCTCTGATTGGTAGGCTCCAGTGAACCAACCAATCAGAACGCTTAACTCGCTCGATACTGTTACGATACGAATGCGATAGTTATTCGTGCTTGGCCCTCAGTTCATAGTTCACAAGCGTTAGGAAGAACACTTATTTCGTTGACTAGGCGGAGTCGCGGTGAATATCGAAGTATGCTACATGTCCTTAATTACGAAAAATATCACTTGTCATCCACCGTTCAACGAGTGTCTCGATCACTGGAGGTTTGTCTTATAGTTGAGTATTTAGGAATATGAACACATAGTCTCACTGAGTGGCACTACTCATTACACTTGGCACTGTGGAGCTCACTCCTGCACTGAGCTAGTGGTGGCCGCGTCCTGCCGCGACGTCTCCGCGCGCTGCGACCCCGACGGGGACGACGTGCACGACCTGCAAATAGATCAAAAGGACTTGTTAGTATTTTTATAGTATTAGTTAGTGTTAAATTGAACAGTAATTGTACCGCTGACTTTAACAGTTAGAGAAAAATGTGTTGCACTAGCGAATTCATTAACTTTGTTAAAAGTATTGCAAGTCAAAATTAAACTGAATATAATATTGTTACTGCCTCGTTGGCCGAGTGCTCGTAAGTGCGACTGCCGGGCAAGGGGTCTCGGATTCGATTCCTGCCTCGGGCAAAATACTACTGAGTTATTAATAAATTCTCAGTAGTAGTACGTAGCCTGGAATTGTGCCCGGTATATGGCAATAGGTTCACCCCCTATTACATGGGACTCATAACATAAATAGTGAAAAGTGGGTGTTACATTGTAACATAACAACATAACATAACATCACGCCTTATATCTCCGAAGGGGTAGGCAGAGGTGCACATTATACCACTGTACAATGTACTGTACAGTTACATTGTACTGTACCATAATTTTCAACCTCTACCTACCCCTTCGAAGATAAAAGGCGTGATGTTATGTTATGTTATAATGTTAAAAATAAAGTTAGCCATGGTATGATACTATTATAATGAAGGTGTACCTGGTAGCGAGATGATGTCGCGGCGTGTCACACGGCCGCGGCAGCGACGGTACGAGCTCGTCGGGCGACGACGCGCGACTACTGCGCTCACTGCCGGCCTCCTCGTACGAATTGTCGCTCGTCAACTGGAAACATAGACAAACATATGTTTAGTTTTGTGTTTTATATATAAAGTTATTTATAAAGAATGTTGTTATAAGCTATGGTGATTGATGGTGGTTGATCATGAAGTACCAGGTGGTGAAGAAGAATGGTAGAAAGCTCCTCTATTTGACTAAGATCCTCAAACTTTTTTTAAAAAAAAACGTTGCCCTACACTAGGATTTTCTCCTGTGTCGTGGGTGCGTTTAAAAACATACAAGTTCACATACACAATGACACCCAGACCCGAAACAACAATTTGTGGATCACACAAAGTGTTGTTCCGTGCGGGAATCGAACCCGCGACACGTTGCACGGCAGCCGGTTGCCCAGCCACCGCACCAACCGTGCAGTCAAACTTTTGATAGTATCTGTTGGGCTACCAGACAAATACCAAGCTAAATGCGAACTTGCGAATACGCAGTGATATCAAATATTGTATATCTTCTAAATACATCTTTTTACCGAGCAGTGCAGCCCCAACATA